TGGTGCATTTCAGCAGTGCTGAGAACAGTGCAGAAGACAAGCTATGACCCACACAGCATGCAAGTTTTTACAAGCACAGCATGCAGCCTCTTTGTCATCACTGAGAAAAATGCGGAGGTAATGGTGGTGACTATGTTTTGTAGGTGAGAATTTGCTCTACCAAAAGGTGTTATTCTGTTCTTTGTGTCTTTTGTATTTTCCAAAGAAATAAATAGGAGAGACTTTTGGAGTGACCCACTTTCCATTTCTGTTACCCTTGCAGAGAGGGAAACTCCTTCTCTGCCACTTCACAGGAAACTGCCTCTTCTCCATTGCAAGAGGAGAACCGTCTGTCCCAGGCATCTTGAGCTGGTCTCCGTCAGCAAGGGGGCACCACACTAAGTGTATGTACCTCATATCCAAAGCAGAAACTGATTCCCTGTTACTTCTGTATGACACACACTGACCATCCACCAACACGTAAGAGACTTCTGGTTCTACTGATGGACCAGAAAACAAAGATGCTAAACTCTGATGCAGAGAACTACTAGTTACAGTAATAGCACACCAGATGCTGAACACCACAAATAAAAGTTTTTTTGTTCTTTTACTTACTCCATTTTCTGAATTTTCCATGAAATTGACTGCATATTTTCCAACTGGAAGAGAAAGAGGTTTCTTTCAAAGGCTGATGTTGTTGCTTATCAACTTTGCTAGACTAAAAGCGAGTTTTGTCCCTGGAGAAAAACAGAGCTTCTCTATTCCACGCTATTCAACTTCCTGCTTTTTCTTTTTCTTTTTTTTTTTTTTTCCTGAACAGCATAAAGAAATCTTTCTTTAAATGATTCCCAAAGTAAAACAACGTAGAGACTGCTTGCTCTCCGATGTAAGAAAATACTTTATGTGGTTTATTGTGGGAACATTAAAAAAATTAAATATAATTTGAAACAGCCAATGTGGAAGAAAAGAGCATTTATTTAACTTCCTTGGGAATACATTTTGACCCCACCTTAAACTGCCTGCAGAATATCAACTGACTCAAATAACAGCATATGTATTTGCAGCTCCTATAAATTACACTACATACGAAGAAGCTGCTGAGGTATTTTACACTCAGGGTCATCTTACATTCACACACATCCGTTTAAAACTGGATCTGTTCATTTGACATGTATACATATAAACATTCAATTTAGATATTCAAGGGAGTCAAGGTAGGTAGATAACTTTTGGGAGCCTGAACACTGAACAGCTCTTAAAAAACAGAATACATCTCCACTAAGCTTTGAGAAAAATCAGCTCTATTGGAAATACATTATTCTCTGCCTGAATAATAGGAATAAATATTTACTTTCTTGAAAAACCTCAGAGTTCCTACTATGATGGAAAGGGAGGTGAGCTAGAAGGGAATAATTGCCACTTGCAATTCCTATTTAAAATACTTCAAGGCTCACATTAGCTTCTCATATAAAACCTGTGTTAATTTTGTGACATATCTATACCATGAAAGAGAAGGATAGTTTAAAATCTGCCAATCAAATCATTCTGCCGTGCAGATGAGAATAACGCTGTTCTAAGTGTGAAACGCCTGTTATCTGTGGTTAATACTAGAACCTACTGTTCTTTCCATTTCCTTCATAGGGGGAGGATCTCAGGTCATAGAGCTCCCTTCAGCCCAAGCAAATGGAGTCATTTTACTGCTTTCTACTGCATTTGCTGGCATGTCCATTTCAGAAACTATTGTATATTTCAGAGTGATTCGGTAATGAACACCTACACTTGAAAATGTCAGTTCTCAAGGGCTGATCTGACTATATCAAACAGGCAAGTTTAAATGGTGCTATTTTTGAAAAGAAATATAAAACAAATAGGAAATGGAATTAAGAAATGTTAAGGGACTGTTATTTCTGAAGCTAAAAATAAAATCCATGCACAAGCTGAAGGTGAAAGAATATCCTGCAATTCATGACCAGTCACGACAAGCAACCCCCAACCTACTTCCTGATCCAGTCCTGTTCTTTGTGTCACGTTTCTGAAAACAGACACTGTTATTTCAGAGACATGAACTCGCTGAACAGTTATTAGCAGAGAGTAGAAATAACTGTGAATGCAACACCAAACTATTTAGCACTTATGATTAAAGATGCTTTCTCTGTAAGCAAACATTATTTCAAGTTTCAAATGGGAAAAGGATCTGGAGGCATTTCCCCTTTACTTTGAAAAGTCAAGCAAATTTTATTTTGCTCCACAAGAGGGCTATGTGGACACCAAGACATTTTCCCTACGCTGTCTTCAGCAGCATGGTTAGGCTTAGTCCAGTAAGAAAGCATTTCATGCAGTGCTAGATCAACACATACAAAGCACTCAACTGCTGCCTTCTTTGCAGAAAGTCTGTTCATGATTTCTGTTTTAGGACAAAGTGTCTCAAAAACATGTTGATTTAAGCTACTGGAAAGATTGAGATCAGTTGAGCAGTACTAGAGTAGGGATTTAAAGGGTAAACAAGAACAGAAGTAGCCCACCATACAGAAACTTCCTGGAAGCATTGAATTCTGATACTTTCTGTACATTTTCAGTGCTTAAGTGACACATTTTGAATTGTCTCATCAGCCCTTCCTTCTGGATGACTTGCCACAAATGAACAGCAACAGCAGCTGTACCAGCAACAACAGGCTCTGAAACGAGCGTGAATGTCACTGAATTTTGCTCAGCATTATCATAATAAAAATCTCTCTATTCTCTAACGTATGTGTGTACAAAAATCTATTATCCAGAGCAGTTACAGCAATAAATAGATAAATAAACAAATAATTGGGTGGAGGGAGTTAATATTATCATTTAACACATAAGGGTTTTTTTTGTTTGTTTTTGTTTTTTTTTTAAATCTGAAAACACTACTACTGGGTATAATTGGAGTGACCATACAGGGGAAAAAATACCACAGAATATCACATCATTCCTCCATTTAATCTGGTACCTCAGAACAGTGGCCCCCACAAAATTCTTGAAAAATACCAACATTCCCTTACGAGAATTCTACACTTCTTCATAATTAAAGCTTTTAATATAATACCACGTATCACGGAACTCATTCTCCTACAGAGTTGAAGAGATCCACCTTTCCCAAGTTCACTCAGAACTGAAGTGCTCTAAAATCTTCACACGTGCTTTGGACTGTTTTGAAATTTGCTGTCCTTGCAGCCCAGGCTAGGTCTTGCTATCCACCTCCAAGGCCATTTGGCTACAGTACTCTCTGCGCGCCTCAAAGCCCAGCCCTCAATGGATGTCAGTCATTCAACGCCCAGCTCAGACCCTTAAACAATTTTACCAAAACAGCAATTCAATGAGCATATAGGCATTCAAAATTTAAATGGAAAGAACATATGCAACAAACTGAAATTCTGAGCAACTTTTGCCCCAGATAATTTTATCAACCTTGATTTTCTTTTGTTACTCTTTCTCTACAACCTTAAGCCAACTACTGGAAAAATTTTGTCTCTTTTAAGAAAAATATATACTGTTTACATTTGTCAAAGGTATTTTTTTCTAAATATTTTTCATAGCTATAACTTTGCCATGGATTTGGCTAACAGGAGCAGAAAAGCATATCAAATTGAAGCAAAAGTAGAAAGCAAAGCAGTGCAAGTTGAATGAGACAGTATATGGAAACAACTGGCACAGATATCATCTGTGGGGGGAAAAAAAAGCTGGATGCTCGTATCAGAAGAGAGGAATTTTTAAAAGAGGGGAGAAAGTTTCTCAGCCCTGACTGATCATTCATGTACATACACACTAGGTTAGTTGCTAGGGTTAAGAGGAGACTAGAGGGAAGGGATCTCTGTCAGTACCTTACCTGAGCTTGAATCAAGATGCAACCTCAAGTTACACAGAAAGAGCTGGAAGCCATGAAATACCTGACAACACATACCTGAATTCTGCTACCTTTGATTGATAGTCCAAAAGATAGAAAAATCCTTCCTATCTTCACAAAAAAATATTCAGGAATATTCCAAGGACAGGCTAGATAGCATTGTAAGATGGATTCTGCAGTGTTCTTTGCTACGGATTTCTGTTTTACATGAGCTATTCTGGAACTGAAATGTCAGTACCTGAGCTATACTGAAACCTCAGATATGTAACTGAGCTTACTTTGTTCCAACAAGTTACACAGGGTTGGTAATCCACAGTAACTCACTAAGCGTGCTGCGAATCCATCATAAAGGTAAACTATTTTGGCATTAGATAGTATTTCAAAGTGTTTGCCACAGACAGAGCATACACCTTTAAACAATGCAGCTCTGCCCACATGAAATAATTTGGCCATGAGCCTGAGCTTTCACACGTGTAAATATTCTCCAAAGACATGCTGCATCTGCAAGATCTGCTTCTCACATATCTCCATTGCTACCCACAGGATGCATTCTAAAACTAGGTTTTCCCTTGTCCATCACTGAAATTGAGAATCATTTCCATGTTACTGAAGTGACTGATTCTCTCCACATGTTTGTATTGCAAACCCATAACTTCTGACCAGTCCATCTTATTCAGTTATGCCCAACAGAATAAACATAACAACTATTACACTGTTTCATGCATCTTGTCAGCCTTGAGAAGCACAACCCCTATGCAATACGCACCTAAAAGCAGTATTCCCCCTTCTTATTTCATCAGCTAAAAGTTTTGCCAAGTTCTGTATTAAACCAGGCAACAAAATGTCACCGGGCAACTTAAGTTCTGCATAAGCTAGCTACATTGGCAACGAAAACATATCTGCATCAAAGCAAAAGGAGTCAAACAATCCAACAGCAATTTGAGTAATTTCTCTCTTAAAGCAAAGCCTTCTCCCGCTGCTCTGCACAGTTTATCTGTGACTTTCTGTGCTCAATTACACATTCAGTGTGGGCAGACGTTTCCAAGACACGGTTTTACAATCACACAACAGCAGCCCGCTTTTACAGCAACCTCACTTTAAATGTTCCAGTCATTCCCCCCGCTACACAAGTCATGTCTGGTATCTGCACCTGTCTCTGCACGCCAGCGCTGGTCAACTGTGCCTCTGCTCCGGCTGCTTAAAACACGCTGCTTCCAGCAACCGCAACACGAGGGAAACACGCAATCTCTGCTTTCCCACGGGAGATTAGATCTACAGCGTTAAAAACCTACAGTTGAAAGCTAAAGGGAACTTGAACTATGCCCTATTCTTAACCTCACTCGTGAGAAAACCGAAAGCCTTTTTATTTCCACGGAACGCGAGCAAACCCAGCTCCACACCAGCCTTCCAGCCACCGCCCCCCGACAAGCTACGGCAACCGCCGCCCGAAGGGAGGAGCGCAGCGCCCGCCGCCCCGCCTACAGCGCGGCCCTCCAGACCGCCCTCCGCCGCGCCCCCCGCCCACAGCACCGCCCCGGAGCAGGAAGCCGGGATGGCGTCCCATGACCCCGGCGTGGCACGGAAGGACTTACTGGGAAGGGACGGAGGTGAGGCGGTGCCGGGGAGCGAGTCGGGCGGCACGCGGCAGCGGCGGGAGGGCGCTCCGTGGGGCGGGGGGCAGGCGGCGGGAGGGGCCGCGGAGGCCGTCGAGGCGAGCGAGCGCGCCCGCCCGCGCACGGAGAGGGGTGGGGTCCGCGCGCTGCCCAGCGGACCTGTGCGCGCGCGCGCGCTCGCGCTCACGGACATGGCGCCGGTAGCGCCCCCTCAGCCGCCGCCTCGCCCCGCAGCCCGGCATTGCGGCGGGCAGGGCTCGGCCGTGCCTGCCGGAGCTCTTGGAGCCCAGCGGCCCTGCCCGGCCCTCGGAGCTGCCCGCGGCCCCGCTCCGAGGGCCGTCGTTTTTGCTCTTTTCTCGTTTACCTGTTGCAGTACGAGAGCGGCACTAGAGTTTCTTCGGTGCTTTTTTTTTTTCGTTTTTCCCAGTGGTAGAATGTCTAAACTAATGCTAACACGGATGCGATTTACTTTTTAGTCCAGCAGCTTAAGACATTTACAGTCAGAAGGAGCCTAACAAAGCTGGAACTGTCCGTGCAAATCTGAGAAACCCTGCGTGGCTTTTCAGAGCTGATAAAGTGAGAGCACAGCTGGGTGTGCCTGATTTTGGCTGTGCTTTGTGCCTGACCTCAGGTAGCAAATGACTGTGTGTAGCTTCAGATCAGCTTTTTACTTCATCCTTCATGTTGATCTTCTCACAGAAGGCTGAGCTGAGGCAGTTTGTTACTCCTCTCCTGTCAGCTGCTGAAGTATCCCTGCAGGTTCTCCTCAGACGTTTGCCTCTGTTACTGGCAGCACATACATGTACAGGTCTGGCATTGTGTGCCCATCCTCTGTGAGGAAGTATGGTCCATTCAATCTCCTAAACAGTAGGAACTTGCTGAGGAGATGCACAGGCTGAAGTATCTCCATTCTTTTAATAGTTTTGCAGTTTTAAGTTGCGCCACTTGTGACTCAGTTTAATGCATGCAAATAAAGCCTTAGTAGAGCACAGCCACTGAAATTATTCCTTGAAATAAAAGAAGTGATGAATCCCTGTAGTGGTTACCCATCCATGTACTCCAGTTGCTGCTGTCTGGCATTTCTGAGTTGAAATGAGAGCCTTTAAGTTATGGTGCTATCATCTAGTTTGGAGGCAGGATAATTGTTTGTGGTGCCCCTGCTGACTCTGTATGAAGGTCCCACTTTCTTCTAAGTCCCGAGTTTTAAGATTGGGAAGACACTAATGACAGGGATTGTGGATGTTCTTGAGGTATTTCACTCTTATATGTTTGTAGTAAGGAAATCATAATACTTCACTGAGTATGTAATGGTGAGTTTATAAAAAGCTGTGAATATCTAGCATCTTGTGAAAGTTTCAGTTAATGTTTTATTGCAGTGTATGGTGAGTTTGCATAAATAAAGGAAAATGTTTTTCCTGAGTAGGTTGATGAGTGAAATTCATTTTGGTTAATACAGAGGTTTGGTTGTGTTGGTTTTTTTTTTGTTTTTTTTTCCCTTCTATTATTGTAGAAGCATATTTCATTTCCTGAATAACAGCATCAGCAGAATTTAATATGTAGAGAGTACATGGAAGAAAGAAGGAAGAAAGTTATTCTGGTAGGAACAGTTAACGTTTAGGAGGAAACACTACTGCAGTAATGGAAAAACAGATGTACTGCAGACATCAAAAATAGGTTTATTTGTTTTATTGTCTGACCTGTTTGCAAAGAATTACAGAAAATTTTGCATGCCTGAGGATAAGGAAAATATATTATTAGCTCTATTTTAAAAGGCACTTTAATTTTTTGACAGATGGGATGAGAAGGGACAAGTGTCCTGCACTGCAAATGGCCTCCTGTTTGACATTTGTCGTTTGCTAGCCTGGAATCATCTTTGATGGTGGAAGGCTGGCGAAGCTAAGGTTTGTACTAGAAAGTTTGACTTTATTTTTGTATTCTGTAACATAAAAGGATTATGTTATAAGTTGTTTATGTTTGGGCATCCTAAAGCATGTTACTGAAGTTATGTTTCAGTTAAAAATTATGGGTTTCAATACTGGTTTGCTGGTCTTCTGAATGATAAGTATTTCTTTCCAGCGTGTATGATTATTTTGTTTGGTCTAGTATATTTTTTTATTAGAGTATGTCTTTCATATTCATTGCAAAGATAACTTAAGAAATTAAGCAATTAAATGAATTTGATAAGGTTGTTGCTTAACAACCTAATGCGGTCTAAGCTGTATTCATAAATATAGCACTTATTACACTTACATTAATACACTTATGAATTTTTTTTTCATTAATTACACCAGAAATTGTCCTATTCCTATCAAAGGAAGTGTGCATTATTAAATGTAATATTGCGGTAACCTAGTAAAGCAAAAGTTGCTTTTTACAATGCAGATTAGTTTAAATCAAGTCATGGTCTACAGCTGAAACTATGTAGTGCATCCAACCAACTTGGACTGAAGGATGGACTAGAAGATGGGTTTGGGTTTGTTTATTTTTCTGTTATTTTAATTCTCAATTATTTCATTTTTAAATTAAAGATGTTTGACAGAATCAAACCATCTGATGAGGCTTCTGCTTCTTCAGCACAAGGTGAGACGTTTAAAGGAGATGGTTTTTAGTGCAGTTTTTTAACATAATAACCATCAGTATAGACAATCAGTTCACCTTATAGTTGTTTCATTTGATTTCCTAAATTTCCATATGGAGCTTAGATGGAAGATAAGTTATCCAAAGGTTTCTGTGCAAGCATGATTTTCTTTCCCTATGGTAAGCTGTTTAAGACATGCTGCATTTTAGCTCTCTGATTATGGATGGAATAGTCTTATGAACGTAGATTTCTTAATCTTGATCCCAGACAAATATGAAAAATACCTGCTCACTTCAACGATAAAAGAGTGAAGCTTATTTTATAAGCCTCAGAGAGGATCTTTGAGGATGAAATGATCTCTCTAAATGCTTATTTTAATGTTTAAACTTTCCTTAAAATACTATTTTTGACAAATACAGTGTAAAGGAACTAACTGACTGCAGGTAAAAATAAAAACTTTTTTTTTTTTTTTTGGAAATAGGAATGGAAAGGCATGGTGTTGAAGGCTCACTGCAACAGGACAGCAGTAGCAGGTAAGTAAGATGATAATCTAACTGACATCCAGTTTACTGCTTACACAAAGTAAAACAAGAATAATCTGTTTTTCAACCTTATATGTCATCTTGTGTAATGGTTGATAGTGATGCAACGTAGATAAGTGTATGATGGAGATCTTCTATGTTTACACATATTATAAACTGTGGAGGAAGGGCACTGTAGTGCCCAAAACCAATTATGCAGGTGTCAGAATTTCTTAGTTTTCAGTTTATTTGTTTTTCATTTCAAAAGGCTAAAAATACAACAATAAAAGAATGACTATCTTCTTCTGGACTGATAGATCTCTTCAGACTATATTTAACTCAAATTAAAATCTGTGCTAGTTGTGCCTTCAGCCTGTTATCTGTTGTTCTGCATTTAAGAAAAAGGTTTTTTGGGAATAGTATTTGCCATTGTTATTCTGAAACAGAAGTGTTAATTTTGCAGTAGCAAGGTGGGTATTCTGAGTGTCTATGTTAAGAATATAATTGACAAGCCAACATTTCTCATTTTCTTAATGAAATGTCTTGATAATATTACCTGCTTATTTCAGTTTACATTCAAGAAGGCAAGAACATCCTCGGCCTGGAGTATCCACCATGCAAAATAGACAAGGGTACTGTAACTGCTGTCATGTACACTACAGTAATCTGGAACAGGTAAGAAAGCTACTGCATAATTTGGCAGCAGATAACAAGAAGTGCCAATAGGCTTTGCCAATTTACAGAATATCATTTTCTGCACTGAATGACCAACTTGGAATGGAAATAAATAAATTTGTGAGTTCTGCTACTACTTTGTGCATACAAAGAAGAGGAAATCCTTCTTACCTGTTATAAAGAAGGCAGTAGTACGGCATGGTTACTGCAGTCTGCCTTTCTGAAGTGTTGCCCTACTGTGCTTTACACTCATTAGGTTTATTTCTGCAGCTTTAACCTTGAGAACGAGATATACTGTTAAACATTAGAGTTAATATGTTAGGTATCAAAGCTGAGCACTTTTGATCAACCAGTAACTTATTTGTTCTTAATCTGTTGGTTTCTTGTCTTCTAGACTTTTTTTTAACTAGAGAGTAAAAACCTATTTAATCTTGTGTGCTTACAGAAATTCTCCTTAGTTTGAGTAAATTATGAGCTGTTTGCTCAAATGAAGTTCAGAAATGTTCTTAATCATCATGCATCATTGACAGTATTTGTTCCCGTCACAAGAGATTTGTGAGCAGCAGAGTGGCTGATTTAGGTTCACTTCAGAAGGGATTTCAACACATTTCAGTATTATTTGTGTCTCCCTTTGCGTATTTAAAAATCTCATTGAATCCCAGCCTTAAAGTAGAAAAGGCTGAAGATTTTTCTTTTTGTTGAAACATTTTCATTGTGACAGTAATGTTTTACCTAGGAAGTAATTCTTCTGAATAGATCAGTATGCTAACAGTAATACTAAACTACTTATATGTTTTGTCTTTCTC